AAAGTAGTAAACAAGCAACAACATCATCCATTGCATTAATAATATAATTTCATACAAGTGTGTTGTGTCAAGTTATATAGACACCAAAAAGTACATCAAAATAAAAGAGGAGTCTTGAACAAGCTCCATCTTCTTACGGTTCTTGTTCTAGTATATACATAGTATGAATATATTTTTATACTTTTATAACATAATGGTATATATTTTTAAAGTATAATTTTTGCTCAGAGTGTTTTTATCCCAATGTGTTTATAGTTATATATCTTTTATGATTGATATACTGAGTTCACTATAAACAAGGCTCTAATACCAATTTGTCACACCCCCAAACCAAAACGGCGGAAACGTTCGGGGGCGGATGACATCATGTAAGTATCACAACACATGCATTATAGTAATCAAAATACAGCCAACCATTGCATTAATAGGTAATAGTTTTACATACGTGTTTTAAACATTACATATTCTACATCAAGGAAATACAAAAGACAATAGGAGTCGCAGTTTGATGCTAAGCAGTCTTCCCAAAACTTCGGAGGTGTACCTGTCTACTAGAGCCCTGAGAATAAAAGTAAGTTTTGAAAGATTATCAGCATAAAGCTGGTGAGTTCATAAGTATTTTGTTTTCGGAAAACAGTTCACGGTTCTTTTTGAAAAATAAAATATCTTTCCCGGAAATTCTCATACTGCCCGGTGAAATAAACAAGTATAGATAAACCTCGTGAATAATAACCTTTTGATATCAGTTGAAAACTGTTCCTCAAGAAAATCCCTTATTTTCTTATGAAAAGTACGATTTAAACCCATTTCTTCTATGACCTTTTGGTTCATACTAGTTATATGTTAACTAATAAATCATGGAATCGCTGATGAAAGTTCGTTAGTTGAATGATAGACCACTTATTTTTAAAATACTAATGATTATTTTGGGAAATCCTACATTTCCCTTAAATGAAAAACTATTGAATTATTCGTTTTAAATTAGATAGTATAAGCATCTACTATACTTATATAGGTTAAGCATAGTTTCTTTTTGAAAACCCTGGCTACCACCAGTAAGAGATTGAGGCTGGAAAAATCCCTTATTTTCCCTGGAATACGAGAGGTTTTAGCTTTAATGATTCTGAAATTGTAAGATATAAGTACTGCACTTATATTATTAAAGCAGTTATTTAGGAGAGGTATATTATTACGTAGAAGCTCCGTCGGTTTGGCGAGTTTTATGACCATACTTAAACTTGATATGGCACGTATCGGGGCTAGTATCTTTATGATATTTGTCACCAGTAGACCTATCGGTCCGACTATAGCTAGCATCCAGGCATGGGATAGTCACTCTCGTATAGATCTATACACAAAAGCCACGATTTCCCTCCAGTAAATTCTGGTTCATAAGGGTAGTCCTCCTCTTAGTTACGTTGCAAGCGCCCAAGGACATGTCTCCTAATTTAGTTGATGACTTTACGAATAATAATACAGGAAAACCATTTTTTTGATAAATACAAAAAATTTATAAAGATAGAATTCTTGGTTAAGAGATTGAGGTTGGGAAAATCCCTTATTTTCCGTGGAATACGAGAGGTTTTAGCTTTAATGATTCCGAAATCGTAAGATATAAGTACTACACTTATATTATTAAAGCAATTATTTAGGAGAGGTATATTATTACGTAGAAGCTCTGTCGGTTTGGCGAGTTTTATGACCATACTTAAACTTGATATGGCATGTATCGGGGCCAGTATCTTTATGACATTTGTCACCAGTAGACCTACCGGTCCGACTATAGCTAGCAGCCAGGCATGGGATAGTCACTCTCGTATAGATCTATACACAAAAGCCACGATTTCCCTCCAGAAAATTCTGGTTCATAAGGGTAGTCCTCCTCTTAGGTACATTGCAAGCGCCCAAGGACATGTCTCCCAATTTAGTTGAAGACTTTACGAATAATAATACAGGAAAACCCTTTTTGTGATAAATACAAAAAATTTATAAAGATAGAATTTTTGGTTACATGATTCGTAAGTTCATTCTTTAGTTTTGAAAATGGCCTTTGCATGGTTCATAATCTAACTCATTACGTAAAAATTGATTTCTAGATTCGCAGTATATTGATAGCAGTAATATATTAAACGAAATAATATATTTGAAAACAAGCTTACTTATGATTTTACTTGTATTCCCCCTGAAAACATTTAAAAACTCGGAAAAATTTAGGGGTATGAACTCACAGTTTGATGTGGGATTCGAAGGTAAGTCGGTAGGAATGCTGAGTGCCAAAAGAAACCTCGGGCACAAACGGGTCCTATTTAACATATAGTAGCATATACATGTATTAGGTGAGGGTATAACACTTATTAGTTACGGAAAGAAATCACCTTAGGGTATAGGAAACACTTGAGACTAAGTGTTAGAATCACATCTGATTTGAAAATGGGGAGTTTGCGGCCGTAAAAGGAGTGTACGATCAGGGGTTTGCGGCCCAACAGGGTTTACGGTCCATGGGTTTATGGCCCATGGGTTTACGACCTATAGGTTTTCGGCCCATGAGTTTATGGCCTTAAACAATCGAGGAAAAGTGTGATTCATGGAATTTCTAGGTCCTTTCTAGCCTCTTGCAAGTGTTCTAAGTCCCATGCATGGCTTAAGGAAGGGTTTAAGACCAATAATTTACCAAAATTGGAGTTCTCGACCAATGAAGGGTGTACGGCCCTACACATGGTTTATAGCCGTAAACCCACCGTGTTCATGTGTTTTAGGCCTATTTCTAGGTGATAATCAAAGTCTTCTAGTAGATATCAAGTCTAGGGAGTAGTTACTTACTATAAGGAAACTTGAAACGAGGTTTTTAGCCACCAAGAACTAGTGTGTGTTCTTGGTGAGAGAGAAAATCTAGACAACTGATGAGATTAATGAGGTAGGAACCTGGTTTTGTCACTAGAAAAGAGATTGAAACACAATCAAAGTGAAGAATCACTTACATTCTTGAGGATCCTTGAGAAAACTTGATAGTTATAGAGAGAGAAAGCTTTTTGAAGTGTGTAAAGTGACAAATGAAGGCCATATACCTTATATATACGCCAGTATTTTCGGCTAAGGGGTGGGGTGGGGGTGTACGACCGTAAACTCGAGTTTGCGGCCATACACTCCTCTCGAAGGGGTGTTTGGCCCGGATGCTATGTTATGTCTTAGAAAACTCGTTCTAGGACCCGAATCTCAGTTGCACTGAGCTCCAAATAATACTAATGTGAACAGAAATAAATCCAAATTAATTTATTTTTAAATGGTTTGAACAAAATAAATTTTCGGGTTGTCACAATTGGTTATACATTGATTTTATGAAAACGCATTGGTAACTCGATGTTATAAAACATGTATTTGTGTATGATTCAACAAGTAGTAGAACAAGCATATGAGTCAAATTTTATCTATTCCTTTTAGTCCTTGGAGGATTAAAAGCGATATATGGGCCCCTCGATGATTTTGTTTTGACCTATGTACCGGGCCCAGTCAGAACAAAATTGATGTGTTCGATTAAGTTTTATGTCAAACAAATCAGAAATCAGGAAACAAACTGATGGACAATAAGTACGACATTGTTTCATGTATTTGTCCAGCTGATATCTTGAGAGCAGAGGATTATATGATCACTTACCTTAAATGGCGTGTCATCTTAGTTCCACGAGACTTTGAAAGAGCTATGATTACTGATCGGTTCCTGAAGTCATACATGCATTTATAGTTATTAGACTTATCCAAGCGGGAAATTGTTGGATTAGGTGTCTAAGTTCATAACTATTTCTGGTATGTACTTGACCCAGTTGGCATGGTCCATTTGGGTTGCGTGGCATCATGCCACTTGGATAGACAAAATGAGAAAAGAAAACTTAAGGTTTATCAATATATTATAAGTTCTAATATATTAATAATATTATTTAATTAGTATTAATCAAGAATTAATTTGAATTATTTTAGTGATCAAAAAGAGACTAATTAAATATATGGGGTTGATTGTGTAAATCATCCATTCTTATATAGTGGGTTAATGATCCATGGTTTATTGAATTGGGCTAAAACCCATAGGGTACTCCATGGAGGTTAAAACCCATGGATCATGGAGGAAATGAAAAGCCATGTCGATTAGGGTTTACATGGTGTAACCCTACTTGCGACACAACTATAAAAGGGCCCTATGGGCTACCGAAATCAGCACTAAGTGAAGAACTAGAGGGCTAGACGATTTTGAGTGTGTGTGTACTTCTCTCAAAGTTATTCCAAGAGTTGTGCTGTTGTGTTAAACACTAGAGGCATCACATTTGGGGTGCTAGGCTCACAAAGTTCTTAAAGAATCCAAGCAACACGAAAGGTATGTTCTCCTAATAGCTTTTATGTTTCAAGTTCCCCATGCCATGCTAGTTAGGTTAAGAACCTTGGAAAAATAAAATTTGCATGTATCTTAGTAAAACATAGATCCAAGGTTTCTAGGTTGCATGTACACCTTAGGAGTGTTAGAATGCTCAAAACCCTTCAATATTTTCCCATGTAAGTTGTTACTTGAGCTTGCTTCAGTACCTGAAATTACATTTCATACATACACATAGCTTGAGTTATAAAGCTTAATGAGTAGTATCTTTATCTTGCAAAGTAGTTCTAATAATTATTTGTGTAATCACAAATAGGTTAGATAATGCTTCAATGATTTTCATGCAAGCTTCTATTTTTATTTAATAAATAAGTCATCAAAATTTACTTTTTTAGCATTATACTTGGACTTTGGTTTCTTACTTTTAGGCTTTTAAGCTTTCCTTGAATAAAAAGTTTCTCCCTAAAACTGAAAACTTTACTAATGGCATAAGAGCAAATCTAATATGCATAAGAGCAAAAAATGACCAGATGAAGAGACAAAATTCAATGAATTCCAAACGCCTTTTCAAAATTGCACTTGCCTTAAACCGTACAATGTTGTGTGTAAGTTGAAGAAAAGTGAAACGAAGATCCAGACCCTTATAACTAAATATAAAGGTTGTAAATTCTAAAGACTTGATTTAATTTACTTTTGAATTTGTGAATATTTATAATTTAATGCAACACAATAGTTCTACAACTTGCTCGACAAATATCAAACACAACTGCACCACAAGTAACCCCTATTCACTTTTTTTCCCATCTGGGTGGGGATGTGCCAACGCCTGCCATCACTAGTTGTTTTGGGTGAGGGAAAGATCCGATTCACCTTCTTCTTAGTTTTTTTTTCAACCTTTTGCCTCAGGTAGACCGGATCCAATGTGCTACTCACTGTGAGCTTTTTCAACTCAAGGTCCATAACACCCACAGACTCAACACCTATACAAACAAATTAAATCACTTGAAATGAAAAAATCGAGTGAAATTACATCTCATGATTTCGAAGCAAAAAAAACGTTAAGAAATTATAGGAGAAGAAGCAATAAACAAAGAATTCCCATCACCTTTAAAATTACAAATTTCTTTAATGACTTTGCGGGCACATCCAACACAGTGCAAGTCCATTTCTAGATCCACCAAAGTAAAACCAGATGCTTTTTCCTTCTTTTGGTTGTAGGGCCAAATGTTTTCGTTGTTATTCCTTTGGTTCTTCTTTTGCAGAACCTACAAATCAGTTGTGATGTAGTAGAATGATCAGTACAACAAATGTATGGTCATGTGAAGTCTATTGATGACCATATAACATTGGAGCGATAATTAAAAAGTTTAAGGACTTAACACTTAATTTGAAGTAAATTGTAGAGTGATCAAATTAGAATATCATGGCCAGTCACAAATATTTGGTTGTTATTACTGCATTTTGTGATTTTATTTTTATAAAGAATGTTTTCAATTAGCTCTGTTATACTTGTTGTAATATTTACTAGACAAAATTGCAAAAATTATCCCTGTGGTATGCCTTTTTTTGAGGTTTAGTCTAAAACTCAGTTATTTTTGGCTTCATGGTTCTTTTGGTCATGTTTCCATGTGTAAATGGTTCCTCTAAAAATTGAAATGACTAAATTTCCATCTTCATATATATATATATATATATATATATATATATATATATATATATATATATATATATATATATATTTATGTTTTTTACTCTTGAATTTAATGTTTTATTAATAATAAAATGGGGCCCACATCTCTCTCTCACTCACTTACTCACTCTCTCTCTCTCTCTCTACATTGCTTTGAGACTTGTACAATTCGTATTCTTATAGATTCATCTTCCCCAAAAATCCAAACCAACTTTGATCGTGAATAATCATTGTCCCTCCATCAGATTAGGAAAGGAATAGACGAATAAAAGGTAGATTGATGGCAGCTCTGGTGCGGCTGGGAAATCGCGAAGAGGGAAAAAGGTGTCCATCGAGACCGATGACCCTTTGCGGGTTTACACCTCTTCTTCACTGATCGGGAGAGGGAAAAAGGAACACAAATGCAAACTGTCAAACTGGTGGTCTGATGATTACAAATTACGAGATGGGAGTCAATCTCGAGAAAATTCCCCTAAGCTCTTTGCTCTTCATTGTCAATCACAAACCAAGGGGGAAAGGGAAACACTAGATCAAATGGAGAACTAAGAATGGAAGCATAACATAGGTGTTTCGGTGGGGGTTTGGACAATCGCCAAAAAGAAGGAAGAAAACGAAGGCAACTTATATTGTTGGGCGACTATTACGGTGAGGGGTTTGCTCTAGTGGTGTTCTTCTTCTATTTATTTGTAAAAACATGAGGATGGAAAGGAAAGAAACAATGAAGCATCAGTGGAGTGAAGCGGCGATCCTCAGGGGTGTTTGGTTATTTCTGATCGACAAGTGGAGGGTGGATGAGGGCTATCGGTGCCCATTTTTAGGTGCAGGTTATAGAGAGGAAGAGATGATAATGGGTGAATCCTAAGGAAGATGATGAACAGTGGGGCCCCATTTCTTCTTCTGATGAATCATGGAATGAGAGATAGAGAGAGAAAGAGTAGGAGAGTGAGAGAGTGAGAGAGAGAGAGAGAGAGAGCCCTTTATATAATTAATAATTATAAAATATTTAAGAAAATGAAGAAAAATAGAAACTAAATACCCCAAGGGTATTTAAGTCATTTCAGGGACCAAATCCGCAAAGAAACTAACTCAAAAGGATAACGAAACAAAAAAAGTCGAGGTTTGGAATAAACCTCAGAAAAAATGAATACCACGGGAACCATTTTTGCAATATGGTCTATTTATTATTCAGAAGTTGGCCACGAAGATTTGATTCTTTTATTTTCATCCATGGTTTATTCATATTCTTTTTCTATAATCTATTGTACATATATTTTATTATATTATATGGTAAATTGAGTAATTATAGCATATGTTTATTTCATTTATGTTCTAAATGGGAGAAAATCGAAAACTTAATGTTAACATTGTAAATTAATGAAAACTTAGTGTCAAAATCGTAAAAAAATAAAAACATAATGACTTTTTATTTCGTTTTTATATGTCATAAGGTCATGTCAGCAGTTGTAACCAGATGACCTGAAGCAAGCCGGTTAACCAGTCAGAATTGCAACAAACTGAAAACATAATAACATAATTTTAACATTTTAACAGAAAAAACACAATGTCAAAATAGAAAAAATAAAAAATTAATGACTTTTTTGTCATTTACCTTTTATTATAAACAAAAGAGCTATTATTAAAGAAAAGCCGAAGCAAAACCCATATATTAAAAAATAATCAAGAAGTTTTTCATACTAACTACAATGGAGTCATATTTTTTAGAAATTTGTAAGATAAGATTACTCACATAATTAAACCTTCTAACGTGATGTCAACATCATAGACCAATTTTATTATTATTATTATTATTATTATTATTTTATTATTATTATATATATATATATATATATATATATATATATATATATATATAGAGAGAGAGAGAGAGAAGTAAGTTCAAATAAAAATAGTAAATAATGTGAGAACGTAAAAACACTATGCTTATGTTATTATTTTGTAATGAATGATGTATATGTGTATTGTTGAATTAATTATAATATGAATATTAATGTTTGATTATTCATATATTCATTAGATTGTTATTATTCAATTATAAGTTCATGTATATGTATTTTTGTAGTGAATTCTAATTTTTCTTTTAACATGTAACTATTCATTTATTCATTGTTGAATAATAACATAAAGTTGTGGATACAAAATTGATTGTCGAATAATAACATAAAATAATGTTTTTACGTTCTCACACTATTTGTTGTATTTATTTGAACAATCCATATATATATATATATATATATATATATATATATATATATATATATAATACTTTGAAATAAAAAAAAAATAGATTTAATGGTTTGTTCTCATTAAATATGTCACTTGCATGCAAAGAAATATACTTTTTATTGAGTTTTATTTGTAAATATATACATACATTATAATAATTTTTTTAAAGATATATGCAATACCTGTTAGCCTAATAAGGTTATGGGTTTTATTTTGTATTGGGTCTTATGTTGGTCCATTAGCTAAAAAACCCTAATTACTTAGTCTATATATTATGTCTTTTCCTTATATTGTACTTTTGTACTTGTCTTTGATAATAATATGAAACTTAGGCGTTCTATATCTTGTTAGTTTTCATGGTATCAGAGCTCAGCTGATCATTTGTACTGTCATTTTGGGGGCGAGTTGTAGCATGCACGACACTATTCACGTATTGTTCACGTGCATTGTTCATCAACACTGTTCACATACTATTCGTAACTTTAGGTATGGTTTTCTTTCTCGTTTTTGTATTCAATTTGATTTGATTTGTTCGTTTCATAGATTTCGAGGGACTCGTTTCATCTATTGGTTTGTTGAATTCGAGATCTTGGTTTTTACTGATGTTACTTGTATTTACTGTTATTTTCGTTTGACTGATATTAAAATATGGCCCTAAGAGATGATTCTCTTCAGTCCATTAGTATTCAACTCAATGAAAAAAACTATGCCTATTATAGTTATGTTATGAATTTTTTATTCTGAGGCAAGACTATATGGGGGATTGTTACATGTGACAAGAATAAACCAACAGATGAGCATAATGATAATTATGCAACCTTACTGGATTCATGGGAGACTGATAACTTCAAGATCGTTACTTGGATTAATAATTCTGTTATCTAGTCTATTGGTACTCAGCTGGCGAAGTACGGTACAACAAAGGAGGTTTGGGATCACTTGGCTAGGTTGTACACTCACTCTAACTTTGCAAACAGTATTAGTTAGAGTTTGATATTCGAACCCTCCAACAAAAGAATCTTAGTGTTCATGAATTTTATGCAACTATGTCGGATTTGTGGAATTAGTTCGCTCTTATAGAATGTGATGTGTTGAAGGATTTAAAGCCTTATATTGATAGAAAGGAACAACATTTAGTTCAGTACTTGATGCCATTATGTTCTGATTTTGAAGGCTTGAGCGGATAAATCTTGCATTGTACACCTCTTCCCACTGTTGATTCGGTTGTTCACGAGTTGATTGCTGAAAAAAATTATATCAAGTATCATGTTGACAAAGGTCCCAAAACAGCCACTCCTGTTGTCTTTATTGTTCTACAACGACCTCAATCTTCAAACTAGAATCGTCCCAAATTTGCATTTGATGAGTGTGCTTTCTGTATGAAGAAGAACCATAGGAAGGCAAATAGTCCTTTGCTAACAAGGAAATGAAACCAGTAGCAACAGCAAACGAGATCACCTACACAGTTGAGCAGGTCTTCTGGATAGTCACGTCTCTCATTTCCATCTTTTAGACCACCACAGTACGCTTCTGTTGCACCTTCAGTTAAGAATGAAACAAATTTTACACCACCATCAACCTTGGATTCACAGATGTTTGAGAAGTTCAGATAGTTCATTGTTGCCAATCCAAGTATCATGTCACCTTCCATGTCTTATTCAGGACTATCTTCATCTAACACATCAGTTATTCCTTCATCCTTATGAATATTGGATTCTAGTGCATCCCATCACATGTCACCATATTTCTCATCTTTTTCTTCATTATCTTCTTGTATAGTTGTCTCTGTTCTGTTTTCTAGTGCTACACCCATATTAGTAAAGGGTATTGGTTCTATGGTCACTCCTTATATATCTTTAACAGATGTGTGTTACATTCCCACGCTTTGCTTTGAATCCTGCATTGATAAGTCAGTTGTCTAAATCTGGTTGTTTGGTCTTCTTTTCTGATTCATTCTATTGTGTATAGGACATTTGGTCTCGGAGGGTGATTATGATAGGCCTTAGACTTGGGAAGCTCTATGTTTTGCAATAGCTACATGTGATTGATGTCCCTACATCTAGTTCCGATTTGTCATCTTTTCGTTTAAACTCATCGTCCTCTATTTTTTATCTTTGGCATTCTCGTTTAGGACATGTGTCAGCGTCTTGTTTATAGTTTTTGGTTTCCACTGGTGTACTAGGTTCTTTGAAAACTGATGTTATTTCTGATTGTTGTGCTTGTAAACTGGGAAAATTTTCTGCTTTAGCGTTTAATAAAAGTGTCACTCGTTCTATTTCCCCCTTTGATATCGTGCATTCTAATGTATAGGGTTCATCTTCGATCACCTCTAAAACGGGAGCTAACTAACTATTATGTTTCATTCATTGATGATTACACTCATTATACGTGGGTTTATCTTATGAAGCGCAGGTTTAATTTTTTCCCTATGTATAGTGAATTTAGAGCTCTTATCAAGACTCAACACTCTGTTATCATAAAATGTTTTCGGTGTGATTTGTGAGGACAATTTACCTCCAATGATTTTAAAAAATTATTGGCATCTGATGGCATTGTGAATCGATCATCTTGTACAGAAACTCCTCAGCAGAATGGTGTTGCAAAAAGAAAACATCAACATCTCCTAGAAACTGCAAGATCATTACTACTTTCTGCTGAGGTTCCCAATATGTTTTGGGGAGAAGCTGTTCATATTGCCACTTATGTTATTAATCGCATTCCTATTGCGTACACTTAAAGGAAGTTTCCTTATGAAATGTTGTTTGGACAACTTCCAAATTACAAGTGTTTGGGTGTACATGTTTTCATTACAAGTGTTTGGGTATACATGTTTTATTTTGAAGCCTCATGTAGAGTGAGATAAGTTGTCTTCAAAATCTGCTCTTTGTGTTTTTCTGGGATATGGTATTGGTCAGAAGGGTTATCAATTCTATGATACATCAAATCAGAAATTGTATGTCTCTCGCAATGTCACCTTTTTGGAGCATATTCTGTTCTATAACATTTATGTTCAGTCACATGATGTAACCCGAGAGGAGCTTGGTACTATTGATCCGTTTATCATTGACATTGATGGTCCACCATATGTCACTGATCCACCACTTTTTGTTGATCCATCACCTGCTGTTGATCCACCACTTGTTGTTGGTCCTCTACATGTAGATCATCAAGCACCCCCTCCATCGAGGCCTTATCGTAATAAGAAGTCATAAAAGCTTCCTGACCTTATTTTTCCTCTTACTCACTAATGTTTGCCTCCTTCATTGCTAATGTACATCGTCTCTCTGAGCGAACATCCTACAAAGAGGCCATTTTTATCCCCTTTAGCAGACCGCTATGGCTGAGGAACTTGTAGCTCTTATCAGACTCATACATGGGATCTAGTTCTGCTTCTGCCCGGAAAGCACACAGTTGGTTGTCATTAGGTATATAAAATCAAAACAAAGTCTGATGGATCTGTTGAGTGTTACAAAGCCAGACTTATTGCAAAAGGGTATGCGTAAAAGTATGGTAAGGATTTTGAGGGGACGTTTGCTCTTGTTGCAAAAATAACAAGTGTGTGCACCTTGATTTTCGTTTCTTCCATTCGACAATGGAAGATTTATCTGATGGATGTCAAGAATGCATTCTTGAATGTTGATCTTCATGAGGAAGTATAAATGTCTCCTCCCCCTGGTATTGCTCATCAACCAGGTGAAGTTTGTCGACTTCAGACGACACTATATGGCCTCAAACAAGCCCCTCATGCTTGGTTTGAGAAATTTTCTATGGTGGTCACTTCACATGGTTTTCAAAAAAGTAACCATGACTCAACTCTATTTTTTCGATGTATGAATGTCGGTTGGATTATTCTTTCCATATAATGTCAATAGCATGATTACTACTGGTGTTGATCATGATGGTATAAAGTATTTAAAGCGTGATTTTGCTCACCGTTTTGCTATGAAAGACTTGGTTTCTACATTATGTCTTGGGGATTGAATTTGCTTAGTCTCCAAAGGATTATCTTTTATCTCAAATGAAGTGTATTTCATATTTGTTTGAACGCGCACGACTCAAGGATAATCAGACAGTTAATACGCTTATATAGAGTAATGCAAAGTATTATCCAAGTGATGGTGTCCCATTATCATATCCAAACCTTTATCATACCATTGTAGGGAGTTTGGTTTACCTAACTGTCACTAGACTGAATATTGCTCATGCAGTTCATGTGGTTAGCCAATTTTTCACTGCTCTTACTAATGTTCATTGGGGAGTTGTTCTTTGTATTTTGAGATATCTATGTGGTACTCAGCTTCGCACTCTTGTGTTTCCATCTACATCCTCTCTTGAGTTGCGTATGTATAGTGGTGCAAATTGGGATAATGATAATCGTAATTCCACTACTGGGTATTGTTTGTTTCTAGGAGATTTATTGATATCCTGGAAAAGCAAGAAACAATATGTTGTCTCTTGATCTTCTACAAAATCTGAGTATCGAGCCATAGATATCACTACTTGTGAGATTGTTTCATTGAGATGGCTTCTTGCAGATATGAGCGTTCACATCTCTCAGCCTACCCCTTTGTATTGTGACAACGAGAATGCGATAATGAATGCCAAGAATCTAGTGTTTCATGAGCGCACAAAACACATTGAGATTGATTGTCATTTCACATGACATCATCTCCAGAAGGGTACTATCTATCTTCCTTATGTTTCCTCCACTTTGCAGATTGCTTATATTCTTACGAAGCCATTGAGTGCTCCTCAATTTCATTTTCTGTCAAACAAACTCTCAATGCTTATTGTTGTTGCATTGGGAGTTTGCCGGGGGGGGGGGGGGGGGGGGGGGATGTTAGCCTAATAAGACTATGAGCTGCTTTATTTTGTATTGGGTTTTATGTTGGTCCATTAGCTAGAAAACCCTAATTAGTTAGTCTATATATTTTGTCTTTTCTTTTCACTGTATTTTTGTACTTCTCGTTTGATAAAAATATGAAACCCTAGCCATTCTATTTCGTATTAGTTTTCAATACTAACCAGGAGAATAACTAAAAGATCAAGAGATTATCCATATCAAATGAAAATTGAGGGGATGTATGTGTTTATAATTTTGACGTAAGAAAATTAAGTAATTTAGCATAGAAAAGATGATTGGATATATTATGTATACAAAAGCTTTGGATCAAGAAATATCTTTTGAAAAAAGTAGTTCATGCCATATTCATTATATACCTTTAATGAGAAAAGCTTATGAACACGACGCAACTACACAAATCTCAACCAATTTGAATATTTGTACCTGTGACTCCGATGCTTCCGCAAGTTCCTGAACCATCCAAACAAATTTATAGATAAGTGTAAGCTCTTAATTAAAAAAATTCAAAAAAAATTAAAATTTTTTTTGACAACCCTTTAATTTTTAAAAAAGAAGCAAAAATTGTTCAACTCACTTGCAATTCCAAGGCTCTCACAAGTTTCTCTACGACCAAACTCATAGAGGGTCGTTGTTTCCGGTCATTCTTCAAGCATTGATATGCAATCTCGGAAACGGTATTTAAGGAATTCGAGTCCACTTGGTTCTTCAAATCAAGATCAATAATATCATTTAAAGTTCCTTTTTCATAGCAACTGCGTGCTAGTGGGGCCAAAAACCTTGATTCGTTATTTACTTTCATGAAGCCCAACCTCCCACATAACACTTCGAACAATACCACCCCAAATGAATAAATATCCGACTCTTTTGTGAGGATCCCAGTTTCGATATACACCGGATCACAATAACCTTGTGTGCCACATGCATTAGTAACGAGATAAGTGTCAATTTCATTTGCGCGTCCTAATTTGGAAAGTCCAAGATCTGCAATCATAGCTTTCCAGTTGTGATCCAACAGTATATTTGCACTCTTTATATCCCTGTGGATTACCCTTTGATTTTCTGCAACATGGTTATGAAGATAATCCAAACCACGTGCTGCGTCGATGCATACATTGATTCGTTGCTTCCATGGGAGTGGAAACATTGAATTAGCCTTACTTAGGTACCTGTCGAGGCTTCCACGCTCTGCATATTCATAAATAAGAATCTTTTCATGGCCTTCCTCGCAGTAACCAAGAAGGGAGACTAGGTTTGGATGTTTATAATGAGAGAGCATTTGGATCTCTGTCAAGAACTCCTTAAGACCCTGACCAAGTCCGTTTTCTAGTCGTTTAACAGCAACAGAGGTCAGTTTATTAGAAAGTAAGAGGTCTCCTTTATAGACAAAGCCATATCCACCCTTTCCTATGATGGTTGTGAAGTTTTTCGTGGCTATTTCGATATCTCGAAAGGGTACTCTGAGGTGCAATGACTCTCTGATGAGCGACATTATTTTTGTGTTATTGTGTAGTAAGGGTTAGAAATCTAGAGCTGAAGAGTGAAAAGAGGATGCATCATGCATATGAATGATGAATAATTATGACAAATGAAGTTGAAGCTTCCAAGTGGATGCATATGAATGATGAAACCAGGGACATCTTTATCAAGAAAATAAAAGGTTTTTTCTTCCTCGTTGCGGTGGTTTTGTTTTATTTTGTTATCATATTCATCAATCATGAAGTTAGGTCAATAAATACATAGTAAGTTATATTAATCATGTCATTTTATGCTCGTCGTCCATATTCTAAGAAACTGTACGGAAATTTATTAAAGTTGACTGCTAGAAAGCGATGGATAAAGTTGACTGACCTAACAATGAGAAAATATATAAAATTATAACCTAATTTTACAATTTTATTTGTTTAACTGTTTAATTGGTTTTTATGATGGTTGGTGTGTTACTGTACAAAGTATAGTTTAGTTAATTTAATCCATAAAATAGTAAATTAAGCGTATTTTTTTAATTAGGAATTTTTTTTATTTTAAATCTCAATATTATAGCAAAAACAAAGACGTGCCTTCACAAACCCTTCAAAAATCATTTTTTTGCGGAGAAAAGAAACTAATCAGACACGACCTCTCTCTTTCAAAGCACGTCCATAATCAATAAGAACCATTTTTTTCATGTATTCTTTAACTAGTTTATAATAACACCTGAGAATTAAGATTATAAAATTAATTAAATTTTCATATTAAAAAATAAAATTATTAATCAATTATTTTAAATAAATTATTACTTAAGAGATTTTTTATTTATATAAAATTATAATTGTTGATTTAAATAAACACGTGAAATTATATCACGTTATAATCTGTATGAATTTTATTTTACTTTTTAATCTAATGTTATTAATTTATTATAATTAGTTTAAAAAAATTTAAAATCAAGAATCAATTATTAATTTAATATAATTATAGTGGTAAATTCAAAATTTGAAATTTAAAATTGATAAGTAATAGGTTGACAATGAGCATGATAGGTGACATATAATATTAATGAAGAGTTCTAATAGTATGACACTTGTCAATAGAATGATAAAAATATTTATTTATTAGAATAGAGATATTTGTATATAGTTAGATCCCTTCCTTACCTTGAAAGAAAAAAAAATGTTTCTTGAGGGAGAAAAGAGGGGAGGATGACTCGAACATATGCCCTCCTTCTCCCAAAACACACACCTCAACCAACCATGCTAGAGATTTTCGTTTTTTTCTTCCTTCACATTAAATATGTATGTAGTAAGGTTGAAGATTTAATTATTATTATTGTAACGCCTTGTTTTTTCAGGTGTCAATTTTGTGCTTTGCAATAATTGGGTTTTGGGGTTTTCCAGTCACCATGATATGGTAGGGCCTGGACCTCGGCATGGTGGTCATTTATGCACCACGACGCAGTAGGAATCTACCCATGATGTGGTGCATGGTAGCTAGGGCTGAAAACCCTAGATCTTGGACCTTGAACCCTTTTAAAGGGATGTGATGGTTAGGGTTTCATCCACCCTCAACCTCCATCACCTCCAAGAGTATAGAAGCAAACCCTAGCCTCTTTATAATCGTTTGAGCTTATTTTGGGTGTTTTGTAGCCTTTAAAAGAAGAAGGAAAACTTTGCAGAGCAAGGAGTCATCAAGCAGCACATCTCCACCTCCTTCTACATATTCTGGACTTTTGTAAGTCACCAATTTCTTACTTTTTGATTCATTCCTTCTAGATCTAGAAAGTATTGAGCTTGTTCTTCATGATTTTGTTAGTTTAAATGGATAGTTTTAATAAAGTTAGCAACTTTATTGACCTATGAGATCCCAAGGATGTCATGTGTTATAAATCTAAACTATCATGTGCTCTTGGTCTCATGTATGGGGTTTTGACCCCACTTCTTTCATTTTGACCTAGTTTGGGTGTATGACAATGTTTATAAAGCAAGGATATTTATGAGGACTTTGAGGGCAATTAAGCTTTCTAGAAAGTATGAATGTTGGGCTTAACTGTAACGCCCGGGTTTTCAGGGCTAAGCATTTTTGTCAATGTAATAGTCTAGGTCAACTATTGTAACTCTTTTTGAAGTAATAAATAAGAAATATTTGAGTATTATGTGAATTATGTGTGTTTATGTGTTTATTATTGTATAATTAATAAAGAATAAAAAATGAGCGTCAAAATTAAAGTGTGAGATAATCCCAATATCTCTACATAAAGTTGTAGAATATGTCTCAAGGTTTCCGTGCATATAAAGAATGCCGAAATCCGAGCTATAAAGAAGAAGTTATGGCCCGCCGAAGTTTTACGACAAAACCGGCACGACACCGGGAAACGTAAATAGTGAATTTACGATAGAAGACTTTTTAGCCTTAGCAATCTAAACAAAAGTCGTAGAATATGTTAAACTAAGAACATCGATAAAAAGAACGCCCAAATCTGACTTCGTATGAAGAAGTTATGATTTTTCTAAGATTCGGCTTAGCAGTGCACGGCCTGAAACTCGAATTTTAGTTCGAGCGGTTTTTGGCTTACGCAACATAAATGAGAGTTGAAGATCTCATTAATAGGAAATCAACGGTAAAAAGACAGACAAAAACAGAGTCCGTATGTAGAAGTTATTAATTTTACGCAGACGTTTAACAGTATAATCTCCTTGTACTGTTAAATTTAAGATCGGTCGAGAATTAGCTGACGGTGTCAAAATGAAAGTTGTAGATCTTATTATTACCTACGCGTGGATATAAAGAACGTCAAAAACGGAGGTCGTATGTGAAAGTTACGGATTTTAGAAGTCGGAAGTGTGCTGTGCGAAAATGGGTGATGTGGCACAATCTTGGCCATTGCTTTCTCCCCAAGGCTTGCCACCAGATGGTGACATGTGGCACCAAGTTCAGCCACATTTCACCCTATAAATACCACCTCTCCCACCCTCATTTTCTTCACACCTTTCCCATTCTTTCTTCTCTTTACTCTCTCTCTCTCTCTCTAGAACCTCTCTCTAGCCCCGAAATCCCCCGAAAAGCCTAGGGAACCTCCCTAGCACGAGGCGGAAGCCCCGGAGTGCTCGAAGGCTCTGAGAAGAAGAGCTTTTCGGCTCGGGAACGCTGCTCCAAGCAAAGCCCGGTTTTCTATAAAACCCGCTGTAAGTGAGCTACGCCTACGCTATTTTTAATATAACTTTTATTTAATTATAGTAACGTTATTAGGAACTTATAATAAATACTTGGGCTATTATTATGGGTTATATAAGTATTTTTTTGACGCTTATATAATAATAATAATAGCTAGACTATTAATTAGTCTCGACGAATAATAAACTAAACTCTAGTGGTAATAATACTAGGTTTCGTCGAAGAAAAATTCTTTTTAAGAAGCGAAGCGCTGTCTGAGTTCGGAATCACCACCTTTTCCGGTGAGTGCATAGTTACCTTCAACTTACACATAGATATGAAGTATTTTATATAAATTACGTGCTATGTGTGCATATTATCTGAATACTTGCTATCTATGCTAGATGAACGTTGTTATACATGTTTTCAATGATTTAAACTGTATATGTATTTTATATCTACGAAAATGTTGGGGTAAAACATGGGTAGATGTAATAGGTGATGTGTGATAAAATGATGAGAGGCCTCGATGTTGTTGTTGTTGATCCAGTCATCTAGCGGAGTATAGATGACGACCACGGACTCTTCTAGACAGTCCAGTGGAACACTAGCAGGCTCGCAACCTGTAGGTGTTGTGAACGATGTGTTCACCGGTGTACTCCATCCCCCACATGGTTGCCTATTAGGACATTTATTGCTGAGGAATCCCCTTAGCAGTAGTGTCCGTCCCGATGATGATCCTTAGGCTAGGTCCCTTATGATAGGTGTTTAGGGACGTAAAGTGAGGATAACGGGAACGGGTAATCGGGTTATTGTTGATTGATGAAATTAATAAACTTATTTATTGTGGGTTGAAAACCCTATGTGCTCACCAGGCTCCCAAGCCTGACCCACTCAGTTTTATGTATTACAGGTAGTGGCGCATGAGCATAGGTGTGATGTTTTGGACGAGGGATTACGGATATAGGCCTGTAGATATGAAATAATGTAGTAAGGCTTATATTGTACTGTTTATACTTTTGATCTGTACGAACATGACATCCCGAGTCTTTTAATGAAATACATTTCTATGGAAATGCTTTTGATAAATCTTTATCATATTATTGTTTTGGGACAAATTCCGCAACCCTTTTATTAAAAGATAACTCTGATTTTGAAATAAAGTATAAACAAAACCGGTCTTTTCTGGCCGTGATTTTGGGGATGTCACAGTTGGTATCAGAGCATTAGTTTAAGCGAACTAGGAATTTGTAGGATTTCTAGACTTAAACTTAGAATGCTAAGCGATGATTGTGAGGTGTGAGCACTAGCTTATTTTAGGAATTGTGCCTAAAATGCTTTTATGTGCTAAATGTTTTATGCATGATATGCTGTTATTTTGTTCGGGATCTATGGTCTGTTGCCGACCGGATCTGGAACCTTATGTGTTTAGGATTCTAAACGTACGACTACGATATTAGAACTAGCATGTAAACGTTTCGGAGTGATAAGGACGATTTAAAACGTCTCTCCTAAATAAAGATCTAAATCCACCTTATTCGGTATATAGATCAAGATGGTAAGGACCCGTAGCGGAAACGTAAACGCAAATGGGAACGGACACCAACCCCCGTGATCGAGCAAATACCAGTTGTGGAAGCCGCTGCCGGACCAATAACGATGGCCGGAGTGCAAGCGATGATCCAGGCAATGTTGGATCGTCAAATGGAGGAAACCAGGCGTTTGCTCCAGCAAAATCGAGAGGAAGCGACTATTCAGCTCGAACAGCCCGAGTTGAACGAAGGGCAGACTGAAGAAGGAAACTACAGTGGGACTATTGGTCAAGCCAACCCACCGATAGTTAGGCAAAACCACCAGGATGGA